GTTCGCTACCGTCACTGTCGAAAAGGTCACGTCTGTTGGCACCACGGGTCACAACAGATCCAAACTTTGAGGTGGACTGGGATGAGAATGATCCTGCGAATCCTAGAAATTGGCCCTTAAGGGTCAAGGGAATGTCAACTGCATTTCTTTCATGGAGTACATTCACGGTGTAAGTGCGAATACCGAACCTTCTTCTTCTTGCATCACCTTGTTCTTTTTGCTATGTTGGGTTCTCATACCTAATCATTATTGCACGGAATACAGCGTCCTTTATTCCACCAGTTACACTGCAGGACTTGAAGATATAGCCAAGGAATTCGATACCTCAGAAACCTTAGTGACGCTAGGGTTGACCTTATACCTCATTGGCCTCGCGATTGGCTCTGTTATTCTAGCCCCGCTGAGTGAGATGTACGGCAGAAGGCCTGTTTCGATCGCAAGCTTGTTCTTGTTTACGGTTTTCATCATACCATGCGGACTTTGCACGTCTGTCTCAGAGCTAATTGTTTTGAGGTTCCTTGGGGCTTTATCCGGCAGTGCTATGATTTCCAGTGCCCCTGGCTCCATATCTGACATGGTGGATGATGAACACCGAGCGTTAGCATTTTCCATTTGGAGCATTGGGCCCTTGAATGGGCCAGGTGAGTTGAATCAAATTATACCAAATCTAGGATTTTTCAATGACACATGCCTTTGCTGACACCTACCAAAACACTTCAGTATTTGGACCCATCATCGGTGGATACGTAACACAATACCTAGGCTGGAGATGGACGAATTGGCTATCGATTATTTTCAGCGGAGTAGCATTGATTTTCATGTGCCTCATGAAAGAAACTTACACGCCAGTGCTTCTTCAAAAAAGGGCCGCACGCCTCCGAGAAGAGGATGATGATCCCCGCTGGTGGAGCCGATACGACCAAAAAGCTTCCTTAATCTCAGTTCTGAAAATGAACTTAAGCAGACCATTCGTCATGGCAGTCCTGGAACCTATCTGGTAGCGCCCCCCTCCCCCCCTTTATATAAAAGCCCCTAAACACCCCAAAGCCAACCCCCAGTAACATCATCCCCCTTCCCCCTCCTCACAGCATATTCTGGAACTTGTACATCGCCATCGTCTACGCAATTCTCTACCTCTGTTTCGTCGCCTATCCAATCGTCTTCCGTGAAATCCGCGGTTGGACGGTTGGAGAATCCGGCCTCGCCTTCCTCGGCATCGGCGTCGGCTCCCTCACAACCATCGCTGTCGAGCCCCTCCTCCGCCGCATGATCAACGGCCACAAACTCGACCCGGAGACCGGCAAAGTGCCGCCGGAATCCATGGTGTCCGTGGTCTGCATCGCCGCCATCCTAGTGCCGGCAGGCGAGCTGTGGTTCGCCTGGACCTGCGCGCCCGCCACCATCCACTGGATCGCGCCAATCCTTGCCGGCATCCCGTTCGGCATGGGCAACACCGGCGTCTTCATCTACGCATCCAACTACCTAACGTTCAGCTACGGCGTGTACGCCGCCTCCGCGATGGCGGGCAACTCGGTGATGCGGAGCGTGTTTGGTGGCGTGCTGCCGCTAGCCGGGCCCGCGATGTATGCGAAGCTAGGACCCAATTGGGCAAGCACACTCCTGGGCTTGCTTGAGGTTATGATTATTCCGATCCCCTTTGTGTTTTATAAGTACGGGCATAAAATTCGGATGAAGAGTGCGATGATCCGGGCGATGCAAGCGGATAAGGCGAAATTGGCCGGTAAGCGGTCGAAAAAGAGGCGTGAGAACGATGGAGAGAAAGGCGGGGAGGAAGCGGTGGGAGGTGGCGGTTTGTTGGAGAAGGAGATAGTTTAAAGCTGATCGACCCTTCTTTATCTTTATCTTTTCTCTTACTTGTCTTTCCATTCTTGGCTGTTGTCCGGTTCCCCGTAGCGGGTTGCCGCCATACCCTATAATGTTTGATTCGGGTGAGAAAAGGGCTTTTATATTCCTTTCTGTTTTGGTTGGCTTAAGGGTCTATTGCATTTTGCATCTGGTATGGAGTTCTCTGTTTACTTTTGGCTTTTTTCCTGTTCATCTTTCTGCTTCGATTTTTTATGTTTCTACTTTTCCCTGTTTCATTCTGCATATAGTTACGTTATGTATATAACATTGACTTTGGATTCATTTCGGAAATTTGCCCAGGGGGAGTATATTGATGGCAGAAAATAACCGCGAAAACAATTGGACAAGGTATAAAAAGGGGGAAACAAAGCTACTCAATATAATATAGAACTTTACCACATCAATTTTCTTTTGCCCCTTTGAGTCCAAGATGGCGTCGGCGTATAATGAAACGTTTAGTCATCCATTTATTCCAGGGGCAAAGGCAAGCCCTCTTCCCTCAAACGACGACCGGCCTTCTCAAAGACGGAATACTCAGCCCTGAATTTTAAGAGTCCGATAAACAAGCACACACACACACACACACACACACACAAAAAGGGGGTTTTCTGGTCCCGCAATAGGGAACGGGTAGAACGGGTAGATTAAAGTCCAATCATACCCCCCAAACCCTATCCACCTCCTTCCCATAAGATAACACAGATAACATCCAAATAATAATAACAACATCACACTCTCGTCCCTCTGGACTCGTAAGCCGGCCGCTTGACCCGCCTATCAGCGTCTTCCCACTCCTGCAGCACACGCTCATACTCTCCAAGGCGAACAGCGTCGGCGGAGAAAACCATAACAGCCTCCACAAAGACGGATCTAGCAGCACCGCTAGGCGATGGCAATAGCGGTGGTGATGGCGGAGATGATGAATTACGGTCTGCTCCCGCTGGCGGTGGCCATTTGGGGTCAGCTGGGGACAGTAATGACTTAGTCGACGGCTGCTCTCGTATGTAGCCTAGCACGTTCAACCAAGCGCCAACCTGGAGATCGGTAGCTTTGAGTTGCTCTAGGAGTAGAGAGATGTCCACTGCTATGGAAGGGATGGGCCGCTTTGTAATGGGGTAATTATGCTCTAGGAGCAGATGGCCAGTTGAGACGTTGTAGGAAGAAACGCTGGTGAGGAATTAGAACTTCTTTTCTTGCCTTCTTTCATTTCACCGGAGCTTGGGTAAGAACTACAGCTCCAATTTATTGTTGTAAACCTTGACAATATATATCACAGACATGTAGTACAAGTATTTAGTTTCAACTCTAATGCCGGAGGCCGACTCACCATCCAAGGAAGCGTATCTTTGATCCCGTAGGCAAATTGGGGATTTCAGAGAGAAATGCCCTTGTTGTAGGGAGCGGGCCAGCAGGGCCTTTGCTCATGGTAGAGACAATTTCATTTTGTTAAATTCCATATTTCCGCAGAGAGAGTGTAGATGATGTCCGTTGTTTGGGCTGATGTTTAAATTATGACATAAGCGGGCGCGACGTTCAATTAGGGTTGCACACGTGATGATATCACGGGTGTCATAGTCGTGTGCAAGAGCCGCAAGCCTCACCACCATCACAGAGACGACTCAGCCCATCAGTGACCGACCGATATAGCTTTATCTCTATTTATCCCCCTCAGAGAAATCCCTCTCTCCCTTTAACTTACCACGTTTCACACTCTATTGCGTCCTAGTCCTACTGTTGTCACCCTGCCTCCTGTTGTCATTCTGCCGCCTAATCTCCCCACGATCATCCCGCATCACCAACCTTGATACCTGTCGCGAGGCCTGCATCCGAAAGATTCCACGCCACATCTATAACTGCCGTTCCGTAATTCCATCCTAAGACTTTGTCGACCACTTTTCCGAGTTTCACAGCCAGCAGGTGCCCGTCACTATGTGGTCGTGGTTCGGCGGCGGCTCTGCTCAGCAGCGGAAGGATGCGCCTAAAAATGCCATCCTTTCCCTGCGCCAACAACTCGATATGCTTCAGAAACGAGAGAGACATTTGGAGAACCAAATGGCGGAACAGGATGCTATTGCCCGGAAACATGTCACCACAAATAAGAACGGTACGTTGAAATCGGAGGGAGAGGTCGAGGTTCTACCCCGCTTCGATTTCCATAGAAGGAGAGGGAAACCAAAGCTATACTCCCATACCTAATTAGAGTATTCTTCCTGTGATTGTATCCTCACTAATACTTTGTTTCTATACATATAGCTGCGAAAGCTGCCTTACGACGGAAAAAAGGTCATGAGAGATCCCTCGAACAAACAAGCGCTCAGATAATTCAGATTGAGCAACAAATATCATCTATCGAGGCCGCCAATATTAACCAAGAGACTCTCCTCGCAATGAAGAATGCCGGAAATGCCATGAAACAGATCCATAGTGGGCTCACGATCGAGAAAGTAGACCAGACCATGTATGTATCGTATCGTACTTTAGCATTTATATCTCCAGCTGCTTGCTGGTCAACCAAACGATACATAATCTATTTCGAGATGAAAACTGGGGCGGTTCTAATGCGATGTGACCAATAGGGACGAACTACGAGAACAACACGCGCTCAGTGAAGAGATCGTAAACGCCATAACAAGCAACTCCATAGGCGAACCACTAGACGAATCGGAGCTGGAGGCAGAGCTCGAGGGAATGGAACAAGAGCAAATTGACGAACGAATGCTCAAAACCGGGACTGTACCAGTCGCAGACCAACTGGGTGCATTACCAGCGGCCGCAAATGGACCTCGTGAGTTATCCTTCCCTGTTCAGATCATGTTTATCTTATTCCCCCTATTCAAAGAATGAAAATGAAATATAAAATGAAAATAAATAAGGGAGGCTAACATATGACGCGCTTCCAGTCAAAGGCAAAGAAAGAGCCACGACAGAAGAGGAAGACGAGGAAGCGGAACTGGCAAAACTACGAGCAGAGATGGCCATGTAACATGCAGCACCTTCGTATTTTTATCATTTACCATGAGAATGGGGAATAAGGCAATAATAAATAAACCATTTGATTTATTCAGCGGTGTACATTTGGGGCACGAAATCCGCAGAAAACTAGAGACCAGACCCTCCCGCTTCCTTCAGAATCTCAATCTCACCTGACTCGCCCTTCAACTTTGACCTCTACTCGCTACTTCGATGTTGATAACTTCTTTGCATTATCAGCGATAGCAGCGCAAATCCTATATCCATGCTGCTTCTCCAGAGCATTGCTCTGTCGTAGCTATATTATGGGCGTCCATGGCTCTATATTTTTTTTTTTTTTTTTTTTTTTTTCTTTTCGTGTGCGTGTGTTTCATTTGTGCTTGTGTGTTATTCTAATTTTTCCCGCCTTGTATTGCTGATCATGTAGTCTCTTATCTTCCTGGTTACTTTCATCTTGTAGCCATCTCTCTTTTGTGCTCAGCCATGGATATAAAGATAAGATGGGTAATTTTCCTCCCAGCGCCTTTTCCTGCCTATTTTTGAGTTTTTCTATATAAGTAACAGCAGCAGCAAGAGCAACAACAACGGCTCACCTTAACCTGCAGTTGCAAATCCTATACTTTTCCTTCCCTTCCGGCTGGATTTTATCAGACCCATGCTCTGTTCGTGCATTCTAGCCATGTGACTCCAGCTTTGTTCCTTGTATCCAACTCCATTATCAGACGTCCTTCAAGTTTTCTTAGCTTTATGGATTGCTTTGCATTTTTGGTGCAAAATAGACTTGTTCCATTGAGAAGGGAAATGTAACTTCCAGGCAACGATACGGGACGGGACAGTTAGATTGACAAGACTAATCAAATCATATTTTATCTGTTCTATCATCTATCTCCTCTGCTTGGGACTATTAAATAAATATTTGCGTGAGATGGGGCGCTTTTTCACTCCCCAGACAAAAACCATTGGCATTGACGAAAGCGGGCGCTGTCAGAAATCGATGC